GCTTAGAGTGAAAAGTTGCTAAGTTCCAACTGAAAAATTTTGCAGGAGAGGAAAAAACTATGAGTAACTTTGAATATAAAGTTTTGCCTATTTAAATCAAAGCAAAACACTATACGAGTCAGAGAGATTCGATCTTTATTAAAAGATTTCGTTCTATTTTGGCCTTATCGAATTTTTCGGAGCTGCTTTTGGGCTCAGCAAATTTTCATTTCATTGAATATAAACGAAACAAATATAAAACAAGCATCCTTATACTTTTCGACATGATGTATTTTTAAATTCTCTAGCCTCCCGCATTAAATTATGAACTTTCATAAAAAGTGGACTTAGCAACTTTTCACTCTAAGCTAGCGATATGTCAATTTAAAGCTATCCCAGCCAACGAAAAATCCGAAAAATCCTATACTTGTCCGTTTACCGATTCCATTTTCGGATACTTTGACGATGCCTTTTGATGAAATCTGTAACAGAAAAGAAAAATCGAAAGAATATCCGAAAATCGAATCTTAAAAACGTTTTCTTATAAAAAAAAACTGTCCAAAACAGAACCGGTCAAAAACTGGTTGCAAAGTAATGCACTGAGCGATAATTGCCATCGCCAATGACATCGCCGTGTAAAACTGGACAGTTGAAAGCATTGCTTGGGTATTGAGCTGAAACTAGTACCGTCGGCAAAAGGTCTGGTTCTACGCTAGTTTTGAGCTAGTCAGATTTTCTGCAGGGATATTAACAACTATCTCCACACATTCATATGTGTGCATATTTTTGGTAATGACATACAAATAAATTGAATTATTTCACATAAGTTGTAAATTATTTATGTAAACGTTTGCTTATGAAAATAATGCCAAACCTTTTTACACTTCGAATGACAATCAAATTCGCACCCAATTTTTTAGGCATTTCCAGCCATATAAAAACATTTTATTTGTTATAATATAGGTATATCCAAGAGATAAGCTATCAACAGAAATCTTTTTTTTTATAGAGGTTAGTCATTATGGAAAATGTGATTGAAGAATGGGTTAAAATCGGTACTTCGTGTATTGAATACCGAAAATTTGATCGAAAATCTTAGTCATGGCAAAGTCTACCCTTATTTATATCCCACTTGCGATTTTTATTTTTCTATTAATTGGAATTTTACACCAATGTAAGTCAAATAAATTTCTAACGGACACAGTTTCATTCACATTTTAATATTTCGTTTGACTTAGATCGTACTATTTATTGAACCTAATAATGGCGATTTTAACACCTTTGTACTTAGGACAGTATCATTTTGTCTTGGCACAGCGCCAATGTGTTGTTAATTTTTTACAACCGGAAATAAAAAATAACAATAGAACAGTGCAAACAACATACAAATGTTAACTTAACTATTTTGTTTCATCTTTGTTTATAAGCTTTTATTGCAGTGAAAAGATATATTTGGCAAACAGTCGACAACAAAATTATGTACCTAATTGATTCCAGTTGTGTTAAAGTGGATGCGTTAGGTATGTATGCAAATACGAACTGTAAAAGGCGTTCACATCTAAAAGATTTACTTGGAGACAAATGTATAATTACAAAAAAATCTCACAGGTTTTGGTCATGCGCGGGGGGTTTGGAATCGCTAGCCAGGAAAAACTAATTTAAATGATGCACGGACCAGGAATCGAACCCAGGTCCTGCGGAGTGGTATTACGCACATCTAATCACCCAGCCGCAGCGGCCGCTCGACTTCGCCGGGCTCAAAACACGGTGGACTGAAGTTCCGGGTTTAAGCATGAACATTTTTACAAGGCTACCCAGATCGGGGAAAAAGTCCTTTCCAATACTGATGAAGTTGATGGTAAATAGATGGTTAGTGCCAATCCTTTTGACGCGGGCCTTTTCTAGGATTTGCCGTATTCTGAATTCTTGGTCTATGATGAATTTACCATTTCTAAAGCTACACTGATAATACGCTCGATAAATCCTTATACGCCATATTAAGAATTTGGAACCTAAGGTAGCTGAGTATTGGGCACAGCACACTTAAATTCCAGTCGAAGGGCATGTGTTCGTCTAACCATACTAGGCCTTTTGATGCACACCTATACCTTACCAACTCCTCACCACCGCACTTGAATAGGTCAGCTGGCAGACCGTCAGCTGCAGCAGCTTTTGCTCGTACAGGCCAGTATGCAGCTCTCAAGAAAAGCAGAAACACCATATAAAATGACGTTCAAGAAATGGCTAAGAAGTTTTCTTGTCAAATTTACTTAAGGCAACACGCAGTTCTAAAGAAATTTGATATGGCTTTCTACTACGGGTTTCTAAAGTTCTTTGTGAAAAAGGGGCACAAGGCAACCCATGTTTGCAACAGAAATATATGCCGGTTCCCTTATTTATTGAGGAAAGAGTGAGGCAACAGGCTGTGAATTATCAGATGTCAAAATTCTTTGGACACACACACACGAAATAATGGCAATTTTTTCTTGGCCATAATCGGGGGGCGGAGAAATATTCCCTCCATAAAAGCGCAAACAGTCAACGACGTAGCGTAGACGTAGGTTGACGCAGACACGATCTATATTATGGGCTTCGCGTGTTGACGAAAATTCACCACCGCATGGCGGTTACGTTGCCGTAGCTTCTCTCTCTCTCTATCAACAGTAAACTTGATATGCTGCTACGTACGTCAACCTATGTTTACGCTACGTCGTTGACTAACTGAGCTTTAACAGCCTAAGCTAATATAGACGCACGCCGTTTGCATACGCAGGCCGTCGAATTTGTTTTTCTGCGTCACCCTGAATTGGCTTGCGTGCGTTTGCATCTGATTTCACTGAGTGAAACGTCAAATCAAAATCTCAAGCGCAACAAAAATTGGGCATTGAGTTGGCTTTTTAAGCCAGCCGTTCAATTTCGGTTGGTCCCATATTAGTTGTATGCAAGGTGTATTAAACAAGGTGTGATTGACAACTCAGGTAGGCTCTCTTTTAAGGTACTATTATGCCAAAAAATATAAACAATCGATTCAAAATTCATAAAATTTTTTTTCAATTTGACTTTATAGGATGGTTCTTCTGAGAGCAATGTCAAATTCAATCACACTTTGTTGAATACATTTCGGTTGTATGTGCATGAGACATTTTTTAAAGCAAAATGGACGGCGTGTGTGGCCTGTAACGTATGCAAGCTCTGAACATAGGTTGTCGTTTTTTTTTCTAACAGAAATTCGTCCTGGTCTTGAAAACCTTAAAAAGACAAATTTCTCCCGCTTCCCTATTAAGCTCCCTATTTCGATTCCACATAGCTATATTTCAAGAACATTTCGAGACTAGGTCTGCATTATTTTGGGACTAGTTTAGGGGCATTGCGGAATAAATCGGGATCATTTTTGGATTAATTCACGACTTTTCCGGAACTATTTACTTTAGGACCATGTTGGGATTAGTTCGTGATCGTTTCATGCTAGTTCGAAACTAGTCACGAAATGATCCTGAAATAGTCTTGGAATAATTCCTGAAGTGATTAGAAAACCAAAATGTACTTGTCTCGATAAAATGATATGAGATTAATGTTTCGTTTCTCACCTAAGCTATTTATGTATGTGACTGAATCGTCTAATGCTTTGCCAAGACGTACACAGATGTTTACACATCAAATTTCATGAGTACCTGGTTTCACCGCTTTTTTTAAATTTTTTTTCATATTTTATGCGGATAATTTTGCCGATCAATGCATTTTACGTATGTATGTATGTACATTTAGTGGTGGCCACATAACTAGGGACACGACTTCTTTTAAAGTTGAAACAATATTTTTTTTTCAATTTTATTTTTAAATAATTTATATTTCATACTACAACAAGAATCATAAAATTTATAAAAAATCGTAAGTTTCAAAAAATGGTCATTACAATTTCAAACTTTTTAATCAGAACTTATAGAAAAACACCAGGTATGCAGTTTTGTGGGGCCCAACTATTAAACTATTAAACTATTGTGCAAGTTTGAGGTAGCTCAAAAAACTTGTTGATTTTTGAAAATTTTTTTCTGACGATATAACGCACTTCTTTCCATACAAAGTATGTTCTAAAATTTTCTATATAACTAGTAGAAAATGAGCAACATCGTCAGCAAGAAAAATGTTTAAAAATCTTGCTGATTTTTCAAACTTGCACAATAGTTTAATTTAATTTACTGACCGATAAAACTACATACCTTAATTTCTTTTAGAAATTCACATTTAAAAGTTTGAAATTTTGATAAACATTTGTTGATATTTGACGAATCTTTTATAAATCCTCTACAAGGTTTCGAACTTTGAGTTGTGTATGTATGTACATGGGTTTCTTTGTAGTTGGAACAAAATTTTTGTCAAAAAGGAAATTAAAAATAAAGAAAACTAAATGGTCACACTTGTAAAATAGTCGTGTATTTAAATGTGTGGCCACCGCTGTAAATACATATACATATATATCACATAATTCTTCACTTCATACTCTCTGCACACAGAGAAACAGTCCAAAAAAAATATGTGAATGATTAAAGAAAATTTTTAAGGAGAATCACCGCGAAAACACGTCTTTGCCGGTTTTGCGACAGTTTGCCCATATGAAAAATGAACCATGTCTGCCAAATCAGTGACAATATAGTAGTACATATATAGTTATATACAAGATATAGTACGTAAAATGTTAGTACGTAAGCTTGTATGCATATGGCACTCCCCGTAGACATACACTCTGCCTGCAAAGTTTTGGCCTTCAAAAGCTGGCAAAGTAGCAAAAATTAGTGCTACATAGAAGTGGGTCAGATGGAGCTTAAATCGAAAGTTTTCATTTTAGTTTTCTTTTCGGCCATCAGCAAGCAATTACCTAAACAAAAAAATGCAAAAAAAATTTTGTAATTCTTGATTACTTGCTTTGTTTTCGCTTCATACTTTGTATTAATAACGTTTACATTTGTTGTTACTTGTTCTTTACTTCAATTTTTCTTTCCACCTCGTCTACCATTTAGCTATACCTTTTACTGCTTTCCTTTTACTTGGTTTTACTTTTGTTATTTATTGCACTTTTTATTGACTATTTGGCTTTCCAGATTTCATGTCAAGAAAATCATGGTTAAATTTTTTTGACACCATTCACTATTTTTCTAAATATAGATATGTGTTGATAAATAACTCGTTATGCAGTACGCTTCTATGGTTTGCACAAACAATTATTTTTGTATATGTATGTAAATATAAACTAATTAAAGAAGCGACGTTGTTCAACTACCCACCACGCACTACAATTGCTCCAGCCAAACTGGCGAGAATATGGGGCTATTCAAGCTTATTGCGGTATCAAAGCAGAGAACGTTTATAAATTATATTATTATTTATAAACGTTCTCTGGTGAGAGTAAGCACACAAATACGTAATGTACAAAAATTCTATATGGGGTCCCCAGAAAGCTTTTTTGCGTCCATTTTCAAGTTTAGGCGAATGAGCGATTGAAATGGACAATTGGAGAGTTTTGTGGGAACTCTACCAGAACAATTTTGGCATTGGGTATAAAGAACTGTCAACTGCAAGTGAATTTCTGAAGAAAATGTTTGTAAACAAAGCACATATGCATAGTAGGTATTTATATATACATACATATATATCAACATATGCAATCAACTGGACTTTGAAATGTTTTGGGTATTTGCAAAAAAAAATTTGAATTAGCGCAAAAATATTTATTTGCATAAAGCATAAAGGAAAAAGTGTAAAATTTTGAGATTTGGTGTGAGAATGAGATTTTTATACCCTGCTCACTTGAGTTTTTGTTTCTATATTAATGGCCTTATTCATTAAAATTAAGACAGATTTAAAGAGCTCCATAAAGTGACATTCTCATGAAAAGTTAAGATATATAAAGCAGTTAAAGCCTTCTTTATTTTTTTATGAACTTGGCTGCAAGGCTTTTTAGACTGTGAAGACGGCCATTGAAGGCACATATAGTCGTATATTTAAAATATTTTCATAATTTTGTGCACAGTAATACTGGCTTTACCTATTTCTGATATGTTTAAAGAAAATGTATAAATATTCTAGGGGTCTTCCCTTAAACTCGTAAAAGCCTCGAAAACCTTGTAAAGCTCGTAAATTTACGAGCCTCGTAAAAGAACTGTCAAAATTTGAATGGAGCTCTATTAACGAGCCCCTCGTAAAATTTGCGAGGCAAATTTTATGCGCAAACAACCTCGTAAACTTCATTGTTGCCGAGGGACCAAAATTGTTATACTAAATTGTATGATAAATTATTGAAAATAAATGAAAAAAAAATTATAAGCGCAAAAATGAATTAATTTCATCCGCTAACTGTATTGACTTAGATTTTCTGCTAATTTTCGGCATTTTTAATTGTATTTAAGCATAGAAACAAGATGGCGGGATGTTATGGAAAATACTACGAAACGAAAATTGCTTCACCAAATCCTGGTTGATCTGTCAAACCACTTTACCTATTTACACCTTTTCACAAAAGGGACGTTTCCATACAAGCCTCGTAAATTTGCGGGTTTTACACAGTTTAAGACTTCACGAGTTTAAGAAAATCCCCTAACTATTTCCCGCCAGTTACAACATACTCTGCCTTTGCAAGCAACTCCGCGCGAGCCACGCCATATTTTCCTTTTTTTCTTGATTTAAATCCATTGATTTAATTCCCTAAATGTTGCATACGGAAAATTGAGGTTCTACGACTCTACTAATTTTTCCCAAAAAATGTATGCGGATCAAATTTGCAAACATTTTAGTTGCCTATAATTTTACCAGATTTCAAAACTGTACCAAATCTGAATGTTATGTGAAATTTTAATTTCACCGTTGTGCAGGCATACAAAAGTAGAAAAAATGGTACATTTCGGCTAAAATGGCAACCGTGGTGACAACATCCGCTACCTAATTACAAGCAACTCAAACTGTGCTAGGGACCAATTGCCACAATGTACAGTGGCTTTCAAAATGTGCGGGAACAACGGGTTTCTTATTCAAACAATCTGATTATTCACTGATTGTACATTCATTTTAATTAAAATATTTAATTAAATAACATAATATAAATACATATTGTATTTATAAAGAAGCATGAAATTTCTTGAATATGAAAAGGAATTCTTGGTCGACAACCTGCCGAAGTATATTTAGCCATAAATTGTTATTGTTATTAATTTTAAAGCCCACCCACATTTATTTTATAGATAAGAAAATCACACATTTTTATGCTGGCGCTAGTGTCTTCATGTACGAAATTTTACTCCATGTTATACATATTTCTTTCATGCATAACTATGGTAGTTGAGAAGGTATATATGGATTTAAAGCGAGCAACGAGTTCGTGCAACCCAGCGAGTTGCAAGCGGTGAGTGTTGTGTCGGAAGATTTACTCTGAATTCTAATATTTAGTTTAACGCAAGCAAACTATTTCATAAAATACAGTTACTGGTTGGAATGAAGAACTACATATGTAGTGGCTGAGCTGGGAAATCAACTGCGCGGTTAAGTGCATTTAAATTTTTCTAAATTTTATTTTCTGTGCTTGGAACATTTTCAGATGTACGCCGAGAAAGCAGGTATGTATATTCGTGGAACACGAGCCGATTAAGTAAGAATGTTTCATCTAGATATATGCATACACTTCTGCATCCAAAAGAAAAGTAAAAAAATTTTCAAGTTAATTAAATAAATGGAGATTTATTTACCTACATTTATTATTACTTTTTTTTAATTTTTATTGAGCTTGAGGCCGTTTTTATTGAAATTTTTTTGGAAAAACACAAAAAAAAATGTTTCAAAATAAATCGTTACTAGGCCAGAAAATAACAAAAAAAAAATATTCAAAATTTTTTTTTAAGGAGCTAAGAGCAATTGAAGATTTTTAGCTCTTTGCTCCAGCTCCGCTCGAGCTAAAATCCTTTGCTCCTTAGCGCCTTACTCCTTTGCCCCGCTCCGCTCCTAAGCACTGGTTTTTATGCTTTTTCTTTTTTGGAAAAAAATGAGGCATTTGCGTTACCGAAATTTTGTTCTTTTCCTTTGAAATAAAACAACATATTTGTTTTATTATTTCAACAAATTATCCTTTTTTATTTAATATTCATTTCTCTTTACTAGTATTAAATTATGCTAACATTCTTAAATGAAAGGAAGCACAGATTTGTAATACAATTTCGACATTATTTCTCTTCCTTTATAGAAAAAAACACATACAAATTAGATATTATATTTTTATATATATTTTTTTTTATTGAATTAAACTAAAGAAAAGCTTTGCTTTAACAAGTAAACAGAACAATTAGTATTGCAAATGAGAAAATCAGTAAAGGTTTTTTTGTTTAACTAAATGAAATTTTGTATAAATATGTGTATTTACTTCTGCTTTTAGTTTTGTGTGTTTTTTGTTTACAAAAATTGATTGGTGGCTATCAAAAGACATGGTTATAAACAAGTGCTGGCTAAACTAATGGAAAATTTAATAATATTATACATTTATGACATTTTCAGTGTGTTTTTTTTTAACTTTTACAAAGAGTTTTAGCAGATTTTTGGGATATTGCAAGTGTCATTAAAAAAATATTTCAAAATTTATTAGATACTCGCACTTCTGTTCTGAAAAACTGTAAGGTATCCATCCATGTAAGCATTTGACAAAAAAGTTTTTATAGACATTAAGAACGTGGCGGGTGACTGAAAAATTGAGAGCTTTGGTCGAAAATTTAAAAGATAGGTGGATTTTGACAAGAAAAATTTCAGGGATAACATTTGTTTTTAAATTATTTGAAAATTCCGATGTTTAAATTCCTATACTTCGGGCATTTTCTGAACATTTGTAAGATACTTTTAGTAAAGAATACGTATTTCACTAAGTTTTTTGAATGCTGCAGTTGCTAAGAAAATTTAATGTTTGCATATTTTTTTCTGCAAATTTTGAATATATAACTTTTAACTTTGGAATGTTTTTGCCTAACTTTTCTTCTGAAAATTTTTAAAATAATTTGTGGGCAAATATGAATTTAGCTGACTTTTGGAATGCTGCGAGTATTTTAATAAATAAGTATTGAATTTTTTTTGTTGACGTTTTTTCTGAAAATTTTAAAAATAATTTATGGACCAAAAAATGCCTATTAGTGGACTTTAGGAATGTAACAGTTGTTTCTTAAATAATTTAAAAATTTTATTTGTATGCATGTTTATAAATTTCAAACTTCTTAGGTACTTACGCGCTTCGCAATACTGCAAATGCTCGTACAAAAATTATTACAAAAATATTTTCCTGATTTTTTTTTGTATAATTTATGACCCATAAATCTTTTTGGTAAACTTAAGGGATGTTGCAAGAATTTTTTCAGATATTATGAAAATTGTATTCATTTTTCGAAATTTCAGATTTATTTCTTCATACAAAAAAAAAAAAATAAAACTTGAATTGGAATATTGGAGTTTTTAAAACCGTTTAAAGCTGAAGAAAAGTGGTTATAAGAGAAGCTTGCAAACTGAAAATCGTTACATAAAAAAAAAACTACGCATCTGCACTTTTTATGTTTCATAAAATCTTATTTGAAAAAACCTTTGACACTAAATATTTGGACACGAGGCCTAAAAACAAATACATATGTATGTTATAATTATTATTGCATTACATACAAAATTACACAACTTATTTTTGTTTTTGCTTTTTCTTCTTAGTCTTTCTTAAGCTTGCTTCTCAACGTTTTCGTTATCGTATTTTCCATGCTAATTTTTCTTATTTCACTTGAATAATTGTAATAATAATAAAAAAAGTATATAACGTAAATACACACATATGCACGTTTGTATGTATGTATACATAAAAATATTTTTTATCAATAATAATAATAATAATAATAGTTAATTAATAAGTTTTATATATGTATGTGTATTTTTAAAATAAATCAATTATTAGCAACAACATATAAAATATGTATGTTCGGGAGCTGTTCTCGCCATTAAAGTGTGAGTTTTTCACCGCTTTGCCTCAACTTTAAAAACCCCATAAAGAGTTGGCATTAGGCTTGCTGACACGTTTTAACTTTAACGATTTTTCTAATCTAAAACATTTTTAAAATATATTTATATAAAAAATTGTTTTTGCTTTATTATTTTTTTTTAAATATAAATTGCTTTTGTTTTTGAGTTTTTTTCTGCTAGTTTTACACCATTTTTTGTGTTTCTTTTCTGCCATTTTTCTTGCCTAATATAGAAAAATATATATGGAAATATATTTTAAACACTCTCATTGCATTTTTTTAATAAAATTTTTCGTCATTTATTTCTTACATTTCTGCTATTATCATGCAACATTCTTCATCCCGTTATATTAGTTTATTTTATTCTTAATACAAATAAACATTCGTTTATTTTTTTTATTTTTTCAATAATATTGTCATTTAGCAATCAGAAAAATATATGCATGTATGTATGTATGTATGTATGTTTGTTTAAATATATTAATATTAGTATACGTTATCCTCAGAACTAAGCAAAATGTGATGTGTTGTTGTTGTTCTCACTTTTCAAAATAGTAGTCATAGCGTAAGTGGTTTTTTGGATTGTAAAATACAGTGCTTTGGAATGTTTGGTAGTGTTACATACAGTGGTGTAGGAGCGTGTAAATATGGGTAAAAAAAGAAAATAGACGCCATATACGTGGCCTAAACAAAGTTTAAGATTTTAACATACATACATATTTATACGCTTTAAAATATGTATTTATATGTATGTGTGTGGTATGTTTATATATATATATATGTATATAATTTAACTTAATATTTAATAATTGCATCAGTAGTTTTCGCTTGTCTCGCATTTCATCTTTTTCACACTTTTGTTTTGGGGGTTGCTTTTTTGTTTTTGTTAGCAGTCCAAAAAGCCGGACTATATGTATAGTCATGCGCACAAAAAGGATATGTTTGGCTAACGCGGTGTGCTGTTCTTTACACTTATTGTTGCCGTTTTTCTTATTTTGATGTTGTTGTTTTTACCCTTACAATATTCTACATTGTAAAATTATAAAAGCAGCATAATTTATAAAACGTTTATTTTGGTTGTTACTGTTCGGGTTGTTCTTGTTTTCAGTGTTATAAAATTTAGAAAAATTTCCTGTTTCTTAGTTAACAAATATGTATTTTGTATTCTTTTTATGTCTGTTTTTTTACCTAAATATTTTCTAATTTTAATATTTTTTTTTTACACAAAATTGATTTACAAGCATTTTTTCTCTATTTTTTATTTTTATTTTTTTCATTCGTATTTAAAGCGTTGTAAATATGTCTGTTTGTTGTTTTCTTTTCGTTTTTGTTTTTGTTTTCGTTTTCGTTTGTATACAATAGTTGGAATATGTACTCGTTACATTTGATTTGTTGTAGTTGTTGTTGTTGATTTTATATTTGTGGTGGTGTTGTTGTTGCATTTGTTGCTGGTAATTGTGATGAATTTCGTTCTATGTAATTTTATATCAGCATTCAGACTTATCCTCTTCAACAAGATACTGCGTATCCTTGCCGGTATCCGCTGATGGATCCAGTTCTCTGGTACGCAATTGCAATTGCGGTGATGATTTGTGTGTTATGCTGCTGGGCGCTAATATGGCCGAGACGGGTTCGGTAAACGGACCAATCGGTTTCGATTTGGAGGGATCATGTGGCACTTCGTAAATACCTGTGGAGTATAAAACGAAAAGAGGATGCATGTGAGAGAATGAGCATGAATGCAACTATCCCAGACACTTCCATACTGTGCGATACACAGAACACTGGAGCTGCACAGAACCGAGGAGCTGGAACCGGGTCCTTTAGTGAACCGATCGGCCAGGTTCTTATAAGAACTGAAAAACGTGTCTAGCGGAACCGAAACTCTTCGATTCCAAAAGACCCGAAAAACGGTTTCGGAACTCAATTCCAAAAGACCCAAAAGAACGGGTTCAGAAGAACCGAAACTCAATTCTGAAAACACATTTCATAAGAACCAAAAACGGTTCCTACAGAACCGAAAATCGGCCACGAAGCGCACATTTAATTGAAGAATGTCCTATATCAGAATTTTATTGAAAAACACCCTGTTTCAGTATTTGGTTGAAGAACGTCCTATATCAGAATTCGGTTAAAAACCGCCCTATCTCAAACGACAATACATTGAAAATATGCTGACATAGGGCGTTTTTCAGCCAAATTCTGAAATAGGGCGGTGTTGAAAAATTTTCTGAGATAGGGCGTTTTCGAACTGGTTGTCGAGATAGGTCGATCTTCCACTCAGCCATCGATTTGGTTTTGATGTTTAATGGACCTGAGTACTTCTCACAGCTGCCTGGGCTTATAACCCAAAGTGCCTGAAAATAATCAACGAATCCTTCCCAACTCCTGGATTCTTTCCTACTAAAAAAAAAGGACATCGGACATACACACGCACATGTGTGTTGAGGTGGCATGTAAGCTGTTTATTTTATTTGCAATTCTCTCATGCTTGACGGATCCACCACTCTACACTCCATTCCCAGGAGCACCTTGAATATATTCCAAATTTGATTTCACAGTTGTCCACGACAACTTGAGATTGATAACTCCTCCGCAGTAGTTCGTCCCAAAAAATATATGATAAAGGGGCCCCTAAACTTGTAAAACGAAAATTGACACTGATAATGACCCGACGCCAAAATTGCTCTGTCCCAAAATTATACTTGAAAAGGGATGACGGAAATTCATTCCAAAGTACATATATCATATTCATACTATGACGGAAGAATAAACCAACACTAAAAGCTGCATAAACTGTACAAAAAAAAAAAAAACGCCAAAAGATAATTTTCCCTTCTTGTTTACCTGTTCCATTGCTCAGGCTTGGATCATTGTTGGTGCCCGACTGTACGGCATCGTACATTGGATTCGAGAAATCACGCGTTTTAGCCGTATTCACGGTCTGCAGATTATAGCCCTCAATGGGAGGTACATCATTGGATGGATCCGCCGCAGCGCCACCCGGAAAACCAGGTGCGTTGAACTCAACGTTTGTGCCATGGCGGAACGTAACACTTTGTGATGATGTTAATGTCGGTAGACGCGCCAATTTACCGCTGCAAGTAAGTGAAGAAAATATTATCTATCACATTTTTTAAAAAATAGTTCATCTTTAACTTACAATGGCTTCTTCCGTATGACATACCACGCGCCACCCGCTGTCAGCAACACCAGCAGTATCACCATTATCGGTACCACAACTGCTGTTACATTGGCACCGCCGTGACCGAATGCGCCGGCTACACTGCGATCACAATGCTCGCCCTTGAAGTCAGGCTGGCATTCACAGTATAAATCGCCACGTTCATCTTCGCTGCATAGACCGCCATTCTGGCATGGGCAAATACGTGGCGCAGGACGTGGTCGCTCCGCTGCAGCGTCACAAATCACTTCGGCAGTGCTGCGATGCGATGGCAGTGGTCCGGAATTATCTGGACAAGCGCAACGATGACCGCCAGGTACCAGCAGACACAAATGCGAGCAACTGGACTCATAGCATGGATTGCGTAGCGAAGTATTGTAACGTTGCTCATGATAGACCTTCAGACCGGACGGATTGACGAGGTTACGATGAATGATTACCTGCACGCCACGCCCGAACTTATCTTGACGTATCACTTCGCCGGAGTCTCGCGTTACCCAGTACATGGTGGATTCGAAGATATCCAAAGAGATGGGATGACGCAGCTGATCGCCCTTTACTATCACCTTGCGGCGCGAGCCATCGTTACGCATCGATTCGATGGTGTTCAATTTTGTATCCACCCAATAAATGATATGATCTTGCGAATAGTCAATTGTAAGGCCAGTAGGGTGACGTATTTGCTCCGTGATGAGCGGGCGACGTTTCGAGCCGTCCATCCAAGAAACTTCAATCTTCGGCGCTGAACCGGCATCAGCCCAGTAGGCCCGACCCAGTTGTGGATTCACTACAATGGATGTGGGTACCTCGAGACCGGCATTTACTATCGAACGTCTGTAGCGTCCATCCGTTTTGGCAACCATAACGCGACCACGTGGTTTTGAGCCAGTGCGATCCACTTCAGTCCAGTAGAGATTCGATGCCAGCCAATCTATGGCAACCGCTGTCGGTTTAGAACCTCCTTTCATATTCAAGTCTTGCGCAAAACCAATCTTCGCCTGTCCATCCAAGGCATTCACCATGTACGAGCGCTTGATTGTCTTGTCATAGCTGTCCGCCCAGAAAACGATTTGTTGCTGCGCATCATAGTCCAAAGCTTCGATGCGTTTCTCGGCTGCAATCACATCGAATTCCTCCCGCTTCTGCAAATCCAAGCCACGTATTTCTGGTCCGTTCGCGAATACTAGCACAATGTCCTCCTTCTCAGCTCTGCATACGCCAGATTGACTATCCACCAAACGGAAACCTTCACGACACGAGCACGAATATGTGCCATTGAGGTTTTGACACATATGCGAACAGGTATGTTGGCGCGTTATACATTCGTTTACGTCCAAGCAGCGCTTCTTGTTCTCCGCCGAGATAATATAGCCCGGATAACAGGCGCAGATGTAGCCGCCATCGGTCAGATTGTGACAATGATGCTCACAACCGCCGCGTGTCAGTTCCGAGCAGGTGTTGGTGTGGTGACAACCTAACTCATCCGAAGCATCGCCGCAATCATCGGAGTAATCACAAACCTGGGCGCGCTCAACACAATTCTTATTAGCGCATTGATATTGCGTGTAAAGATCACATGGTTTCTGTTTATTGGCACACAGCGTCATATTATTCTCATCGGAACCATCACCACAATTGTCCACACCATCACATATCTGATAGCGCGCCACGCAGCGGTGATTGGCACATTGGAAGCGGCGCAACGTATCACAATTAAAGTCCGTGCACACTTTAACATCCTCATCCGAACCATCACCACAGTCGTCGGTACCATCGCACAGATCAGAAGGCGAAACGCAGAGGTTATTGTTGCACTGGAAGCGCGACTCAGGGCAGTAGCGACCGCCAGGGAAGCGTGGTGGACAATCAATTTCATCAGACATATCACGACAATCGCGATCACCATCGCAACGGAAGTACGAAGCGATGCAGTGACCAGACATGCACTGGAAGGTGCCGTTCTTGCACTGATAGCCCTCACAGTTCATCTCATCAGAGTTGTCGCCACAATCGTCCTCATGATCGCACTGCCAACGCGACGAAATGCATTTGCCATTAGCGCAGTGGAATTCCGACTCTGAGCACTCACGATATTTACCCTTGCAAATGGCGTCACTCTCATCGCTGCCATCGCCGCAATCGTCCGAGAAGTCGCACATCCATTGTCTATAGCG